GGTGGAGAGCGTGCAGGAGCAGGTCAACGCGGCACTGCTGGACTACGTGATGTGCAATTACCCTCAGCAGACAGACAAGTTCGGCCAGCTGCTGCTGCGGCTGCCGGAGATCCGCGCCATCAGCCTGCAGGCCGAGGAGTACCTGTACTACAAACACCTGAACGGAGACGTGCCCTGTAATAATCTTCTTATAGAGATGCTGCACGCCAAACGTGCCTGAGAACTGGCCGTGTCTCCAAACACTCATCCCGCGCACACACACTCTGCTCCAGCACCACCTCAGTCCAGCATCATACACACATAGCCTTCCAGATACCTAATGAGTGCGAGATGTGCACCGAATGCATGGGTTTGCGCTGGGTGGACATTCTGGATCTGAAAAGCTGAATGGGTTGGGCTCAATGCTTTTCTGCTGGAGATGCCAGTGTTTAATGACCTCTAGGCTGTGGAGTTGTTCAAGTGTTAAACTGGAAGCAGTCCTTATTTGTTTCTGTGTGCAGCTGATCCAAACATCCACTTTACAGTCAGACTTAAGGAAAGACTGAGTTTTCCAGCGGTGACCTGAAGTTTGGCCGTTTGGTCCTTCTTTGTCTGTTTTAAGGCACACAAGCTGGGCCCGAGCCTGTACGTGGATGAGGATGGACAATTAGCCATTGCCTGCATCTGCGCCAATAATGAAGACTTTATTCCAACCCCTCACCAAAAAACTCAACAAAACAAAGTGTTTCTCCTTTCAAATTGGCAGTTGTGTCTTCTTAATCACTCTGAGGCTGCTTTTTGACAACATTGCTTCTGCAAATGTGAAGAAAAAAATGCGAAAGTCACAAAAACTGTCAAGAATTTGTCTGCGTTTTATATGAAAGTCTTGAAATATAAATGAGAAATTATAGTTTGAGCAGGATAAGGATGTCTACTATCAAAATTGTTATTTATTTCAATTGTAAAGTACATTTTGTCCTAAAAATTACTTATAAATTTGAAGATGCCAATGTGAAATCTTAATGTGTGATGGAAAAAAAAGCGCAATTGTTATTATATGGGATTATATAAATAGATGTGTTTTAATGAACTATTTAAAATTACAATTAAGATTTTTTTATTGACAGTATAATGATGAAAACTTTTTCACACCATTATAATTAAACGATTTATGATAAAACTGAGTTTTTGGAGGAAATTTTTAACAATTTTAACATTAGTTTAAATAATCATGAAATTAATTTTAAAGCCACGTTAATTGTCATGAGGCAAATTTAAATAATTAAATATTTTGTTTGTTGAAAATCTGAAAAATCTGAATCTTAAAGTAGAAAATCTGGATGTATAAATGATAAATTATAATAAAAATGAGAATTAATAATTAACAATTTTATTATTACTTAAAAAATAATAAAAATAAAAAAAAATACAAAATTAATATAAAAATTTAAATAAAAAGAATTTGACATTTAAGTGTGCAAAAGCATAAATGATTAACGAATGGACAAATAAACTATATCAAAATAATCTAATTTAAAACCGCATGATAACATTTACCTCACAACACACCTTTTTCCCATTATTTGTTGTAGTATTTTTTATTCAACATTTTGCTGATAAACAAACAAGATCAAAATGCAGTCTCAGAGTGAAGATGAAGAAACGCCACCTTCATCAACACAAGACCAAAGCCTGCAGAGAAGTAAAAAAGACGAAAAAAGAAGAAAAAAATACAACCTTAACTATCAGTATTAATAATTTGTGATGTCACAGTCATGTGAGTCTTGCCTTATTTCATTTCCATGCTAGCTAACCGTGCTGATGTGAATTACGATATGTAAAATAAAAAGTACATATATATAAAGTATTAATGTTATACAATTGATAAAGAAATAAGAGGTGTTTACATTCATGTGGTCATGTGGGAGATTACTGTGATGCGTTCAATTGCAAAGCAATGATTTCGTAGAAAAACTAAAAAACGAAACGGTCAGAAAAGATTATATTCCTCTTGTTTGCTTTCTTAGGTGTGTACAGTTTTCATCTTTCTTGACCAGTACTTAATTATGTCGCGAGACACTAAATCAGAGAGGAATCTCACTTAATACTGAGTTTCGAAATGTTTTTTTGGTAACATTTTGTTGTATTGTGCTGGCTTATTTCTGTGGACACCTGTTTTTACGTTCTACGTTTGAAATGTACGTCACTGGTTAAGCTTAATTTATTGTTTTTGGCCTCATGACTCAATGTATTTGTTTACTGTAGCACGTTTTCTTTTCTTTTTTTAATGTAGATATGAGATGCAGTTACGGAGTTAAATGGTGATTGAGTGATTGGCATTAAACGACCATCAGTCCTGTCACTGTAAAATATCAAGAGCTGTACTGACGTGACTGACTGGTGCATCTTTTCTAATGAATGTTTTCATGATAGCGTCTGTGTTCTTATACCAAAGACAGCGTCTGTCCTTCACCTGTACTTACCTGTTTGCTTCACAATGAACGGATGAGAGCTTTCATACTTGGGGACTGCCGTTGTTTTGCTTCTCTCTTTTTTTATTTAATTGGTGTTGAGTCAACATGACATCAAATTTGAGCCAATTTACTTCATCAATACCTAATTCTGCTATCAAGTGTGTAAGTTTGTTTGATTCTTGTAATCAGATTAAAACTGTAAAATAGGGCACAAAATAGTGTTGTGTTGTAGCCATATGCACTGCCAAGAAAAGCAAAAATAGAACACAAAAGCAAAAAAAAAAAGAGAAAACCTAAACAGCAGAGTAAAACTAAAAAGGAAATGACAGAGGAAACATAAATATAGAAAAAACAAGCAAACAAAATAGCAAAGGCAGCCAACTAAAAGAAAAGCAAATGAAAACAAAAACAAAACAAGTGTCAACGAAGCAAGATGAAACAAATGTGAAACAAAACAAAAAGCAAAGGAGAGCTAAATAAATCTATACAAACTGTGAAGAAAAGCTAAATAAAACGAAATAAAAAGCAAAACAAGAAGCAAACTAAAACATAAAGCAAGATCAATAGAAAGCAAAAACGACAAAAAAATCACAGCATAGCAAAACAAGCAAAAGAAAGCAAAAACCAAATAGTAAAGAAAAAATGCTACTAACTCAAACAAAAACAAAGGAATATAAAAGAAAACAAGATGAAACAAATACAAATGAAACAGAATCAAAGGAAAGCAAAACAAAATGAAACAAATACATATAACAAAAATCAGGGGAAAGTAAAATCAAAATCAACAAAATGGGAATAAAAGCTAAATAAAATGAAACAAAAAGCAAATGAAAGCAAAAGAGAAGCAAATCGAAACAAAAATAAAAGCATTAACAGTGGGCAAACAAGCATACAAAAAACTAAAATAACATTCCTGCAATAAACGGTACAGTAATAATGAGTGCAGTTCTTGTTTTAAATAAAATGTTGCTATTAGCATACTTCAACCTGCTATTTTAATGACAAAGTTGACCTTCAGCCTTTATCTGAGCATAAAAATCTCAACAAAAGTATCCATTAGTATAGTACGCTTTACAAACTCATTTTCAGCTTCATTTTAGCATTTAATGGACACTATTCAACAAATAAAAGTCTTTACACAATCTGAAATGATGCGTCATCTATTTTTTTTAAGCACAAATAAAAGTAAGATGTAAATTTAATGAATGTAAATTGGCTCATAAATTTAATTTTGTGTTGACCTTAAGGTCAAAAACTACAATGACTGTTGTAGCACACTAAAACTAAATGTCATATGTTCATTTTTTTATTTAAAACGCAACGTAAATGACCACCATGGTGACTTAACATTTCACATCATCACAATTTTTTAACGCAAGTGTTCTCAATGTAAATCCTTTCAGATCAAAATGGTGTAAAAAGTCTTTTGTACAAGTGATCAAACGTTTGCTGCATGGCATCAACCTCCCCCCATGTGTACATAAGGCCACTTTTTTCCTGAATTCTTGGGAAATTGATTTGTATTTGCCTCGTTTTGTGACTCTACTGTGTTGTGTGTGATCAGACCGACAATCTTAAGAAACCCCCATTTTGTTCCCATCAGCACCAGAAGTCCTGCTTACCTGCCTGAATGCTGGGATTAGGGATTTTTCTTGTTTGTTGCGCTGGAAGGCCCGCATCTCTGACGCCCCGTCTTGCCATAAAGAGTTTCCATACAAGCTCTTGGAATATTTCCGTCATATTTTAATAAATGACTATTATGCCAAGCGTCGTCACTCTTATTTCCATGAGCAGCAAACAATGCCTTCTTCCTAATAATCAATCAGACAGATTCACTCTTGATGGAGAAAGATTTAAGAATATCCAGTTGGCACCTTAATAAAAACTTAACCGAAAAAACGGTCAAAAATGCTAATCAATTTAATGTTAAAATCTTGACGTCTATTTGACATCTGAGCACTGATGCTTTTTGACCACCAAAATAATAATTAAAGTAGTCAGGTTTTATTCATCTGAAAACGTTGATTTAACATTTACACTGGATTTTGTATCCCTACAATGCATGTAAACTACCTTGATGTCAAAATGATGTCAAATTGACATCTAACACGGGTATAAAAACAAACATCAATTTGATGTAATTTGACGTCAAGGTAGTTTATATGCATTATAGGGTTAAAAAATCAGGTTTAAATGTGGAATTGAAGCTGTCAGATGAGTAAAACTGTTCTTATAATACTTTTTGTGTCATTATGCTGGTCTTAATAGAATCATGTGTGGATGTCAAATGGACATCAAAAATTTGCCATCAAATCGAGGTGCATTTTTGACATGGTTTTATTGTCATCCTCTCCGAGGTATAGGCTTCATTTTATTATTTGGTGAAAAAAAGACGAAAACCTTGATAAAAACGACAAAAAAAAAAAAACATGTCAAAAAAGCAAATTGATTTGATGTCAAAACCTTGATGTCTATTTGACATCTGCGCACTGACACTTTTTTGACCACCAAAATAATGATCAAAGTAGTAAGATTTTATTCATCTGAAAACGTTGATTAAACATTTACACTGGATTTTGCATGTCTACAATGCATGTAAACTACCTTGACGTTAAAACAACGTCAAATTGACATCTAACACTGGTAAAAAACCAAAAACAAAAATTTGACGTCAAAGTAGTTTACATGCATTATAGGGCTAAAAAAATCAGGTTAAAATGTGGAATTGAAGCTTTTAGAGGAATAAAACTGTTCTTATAATATTTTTATGTCATTATGTCATTAAAAAGCATTATGTGAGGATGTCAAATAGACATCAAACAATTTAATATCAAATCATTGTGCATTTTTCACATGCTTTTTTTATGCCGTCCTCTCCAAGGCTTCATCTTATTACTTGGTAAAGAAAAAAGATAAAAACCTTGATAAAAACGACATAAAAAAAAAAAAAACACGTCCAAAATGCTAATTGATTTGATGTCAAAACCTTGATGTCTATTTGACATCTGCTCATTGATGCTTTTTTGACCACCAAAATAGTGATCAAAGTAGTAAGATTGTATTCATCCGAAAGCTTCGATTACACATTTACACTGGATTTTGTATCCCTACAATGCATGTAAACTACCTTGATGTCAGAGCAACATCAATTTGACGTTTTTTTTTTTGTTTGTTTTTTGATGCCATGTTAGATTTGATGTAATTTGACATAAAGGTACTTAACATGCTTGGTAGGAATAAAACAAATTAAGTGTAAATTTGGAATTGAAGCTTTCAGACGAGTAAAATTGTTCTTATATTACAATGCTTGTTGTGTCATTATTTTGGTGGTCAAAGAAGCATGTGTGAATGTCAAATGGACGTCAAGATTCTGACATCAAATTGATGTGCATTATTGACATGCATTTTGATTTAGTTTTGATGTCCTCTCTGAGGTATAGGCTTCATTTTATTATTTGGTAAAAAAAAAAAAAAAAAGATAAAAACCTTGATAAAAATTACATTAAAAAACGTCAAAAAAGCTATTTGATTTGATGTCAAAACTTTGATGTCTATTTGACACCCACACATTATTTTTTGACCATCAACAACAATGATCAAAGTTTTATTCATCTGACATCACTACAATGCGTAAATGCCTTGATTTCAGAGCATCATCAAATTTATCTTTTTGATGTTCTCTTCAATTTACAGATGAAGTCAGAATTTTGAGCCCCCCAGTTTACGTTTTTCCCCAATTTCTGTTTAACGAAGAGTAGATTTTTTCAACACATTTCTGCACATAATAGTTTTAGACACTTCTATACAGCTTAAAGTGACATTTAAAGGCTTAACTAGGTTAATTAGGTTAACTATTCAGGTTAGGGTAATTAGGCAAGTTGTTGTATAATGATGGTTTATTCTGTATCGAAAAAATATATAGGTTAAAGGGGCTAATAATTTTGACCTTAAAATGGCTTTTAAAAATTAAAAACTGCTTTTATTCAAGCCGAAATAAAACAAATAAGACTTTCTTCAGAAGAAAAAATATTATCAGACATACTGTGAAAATTTAACATCATTTGAGAAATATTTAAAAGAGGAAAACATTCAAAGGGGGTTCAATAATTCTTACTTTAACTGTACATGAATAAACCAACATAATCTCACGGCAATTCGTAACTTTTTAATTCAGTGGCTAATTTGTATGAATTTGTATGATCTAATTCGAACAATTTTTTTACGGTTTGCTCATCACCCACTGATGGTTGGGGTTAGGGATGAGGTTGGGTGCCATGCCTCCTTTTTAAAATTGTACATTTTTGTACGACTGAACTCGTAGGAATTTGTACGAATTAGCCACTAAACTGTTAAAACGTAAAATACTTACGTTTTCTCGTGAGATCAGGCTAAATAAACTTACCCAACTCAAAGGGCTCCTAAAAACATCTTTTAATTGTTATGCTGTACCTTTAGTGTTACTTCATAGATGCCCTAGGCCAGGGTCATAACAATATCAAGGTGCCAACTGTGTAAGCATTGCATTTTTAAAGCACACACACACACATACACACGTACCTAATCCTGCTTTCAAATATAGTTTGAAGATTCATTAAAAAAAACATACAAACTGCCAATAAATTACAGCCTATTTTAGAAGAAACCTGTACAAAGCAGAGCAAATCTTGGGTTTATCATCTAAAGTGAACACATTTACAGTTTGGATACTGAAACACACAGATGTGAGCAATTAATTCAGTGAAGACACATGATGTTGCTGGGCTGAAGAGGTGAATTGTGGAATTTTCGTTCAGCCTCCATGGGTACATTCAGGCTGCACTCGTTTGTAGGTCTGGCTTTAGCTTTTTTGAAGTCCTCCTTTAAGAAATGAATAGCAAATATAGCACGTTAGCATACACTTTATCCCTCCAAACATTAAATACATACTTTTAAAATTAAAAATACGTTTTAGGAAAATAATATGCTTAAAATTTTTTTGATTGATTGATTGATTGATTGATTGATTTTAAAAAGATTTTTACACTGTCCTGAGGTATAATAATTTTAA